TGCCAAGCTGACCCATTTTCATAGATGACAGAGCAACAGAGAATTTCCCCAGGCCCTCTGCAACCCAGTGACAGTACATTTTACTCAAGAGCTTGTTGGAAGTTCTCAACAAATACTGTGAAGTTTATAGAAATAGGTAGAGGTGGGGCATGAAATTATGCAAGCTTGTTAATCTAATTGCCCATGTTGGGGGTGTTGGTTCTGTGTGTTTTGGGGGTGGGGAAGCACCCAGGGTAGTATTTCATGCAAAAGAAAGTTAATTAAAAGAACATGGGCCACACGTTAAAGAGCCTCATGTCTTGAGCATGTGGCAATATTTCCTTGCAATCCTACTTCCAAGTCAGTGTCCCCTGTCTTGACCACACGTGTACAAGATACTGAAACCAGTTTCTGGGAGCAGAAAGGGATATCATTGAGCAGTGTGTATGTGGGTTCTGTATGATCCTTGTAGCAGGAGAATATAACCTTTCAAAGGAAGGTTGCTGCTACCAGGGCAATTTCTCACTAGGGTGAGTTGGGTGGTCTTCTCAGGGTGTACTGGATCCTCGTTCTGAGCCCCATCTCCTGGAAAGGTTAAATAAGTGCGACAACTATTCAGAAGGTAGGAAATATTGAAGCTCTAACCTACCCTGCCCCTGTCCATCTCTGAGAATCCTGCCTCAGGTGTCCTAACAGATCCAGCCTTTACTAGCAAATGGGAGGCCAGGCCTTCCACTTGTGCAAACATGTGACCAGGCTCAGAGGACAATCAGGCAGTGGCAGAGAAACAAAACTGTGTGACTCGTGTTCCAAGAAGAATAACAAGGGGAGGGCAGATAGAGAGAGGGTAGGTATCATTTGAAAAATAATGTTTCTACCAGTTCCTTACCAAAAAGCTAGAACTTGATCAACCAGAGTGGCTCACACCTGCATTTCCAGCAGTGGAAGACTGAGGAGAAAAGAACGCTGCAAGTCCCAGGCTCACCTGGTACAGAGCGAGACCTTATGTTAAGAGGGGAGGGGTGGGAGGAGCAACGAAATGAAAAACAAACAAAATACAAAAAAAAAATGGTTCTCACACATTCTATTTCCTGTCAGTTTTAGTAGCCAACAAGGTGCCAACACTGGTGATCCTGGAGAAAATGTCAAATAAAATACACAAATAGTTTAAATGTGCCAAACAGATTCCACCAACAAGAGCTACAATGAATTGGCCACAATAATTCAATAGAACATTCCAACAGATGGAAAATCTATACACTACCATCCATCTTCAGTTTTAGAAAGGCCTAAGATATAAAAAGAACCCAGATTCAAGGTACAAAAATATCATGAGTGGTTGTCCTGAAAGAACTACTATACAGTCAGCATGGAATGTTTTTATTACTGGTAGAAACTAAAAGATAAATGAAAATCAATCAGGCTTAACAAAAAATTTTAAACTTACCTAAACTAAAAACATAAATTCAGGGGCTGGAGAAAAGGCTCAGCAATTGCGAGCACTAACTGCTCTTTCAGAGAACCTAGGTTTGATTTCCAGCATCCACAAAGTGACTCACAAATGTCTGTTACTCCAATTCCCGGGAATCCATCACCCTCTTCTGGCCTATGCAGACACTAGGAATGCATGTGGTGCACAAACATCCATGCAGACCAAACACACAGACACGTAAAATAAAATGAATGAATCTAAAATTGAAAAAGCTAAATTCAATCTCCAGCACTGAAAAAAAAAAAAGAAAGAAAAAACCTTAGGAAACCACTCTCTGTTAATGTTTTCAAACGTGACTAAAATCCTGTCTCTGCTTTGTTTTGAAGAACACTTCTTTTCCATTCAAGATAGACTAGATCCTAAACCAGCAGTCAAGAATCCCAGATTCGAATTCCAACCCCCTTACACTAACAGTGGATTACAGCCTCTGGTTCTGCCATTGAATTACCTGCTAAATAGATGACAAGCTAGAGGTGGAGGAGGTAGGAGTGGTCAATAAGAGAAGTGATAGTCACACCAGGTCTGGTCCTAGGATCACGTGATCCAGCCAATGTGTCAGTAATGGGGTCTCTGTAACGCAGAAACCACAAGACCATCTATTGCTATCTTCTTATTTTCCTCTCAGGGGCAACTAGACCAAGTTGTTAGAATTGGGTTTGTCCTAGCTTTCTTTAAACTAATGTCTAATAAAGCCAGACAACCAAAATCACTGTCGGCATCTTTTACCTACATCTTTTACAGAATCTTTTACAGAAGCATTGCTAAGACGCAAGTCCAAAGGGCTGTAGAAATCTGAGGTCTAGTCTCCATTTTCTCCTCCATTATTTTATAAATATATCTGAATGGTGCAGATCCACTCACTCCTTGTCTCATCCTCGACTTGAACTGAGGGACACTGTTCTTCCTTTTCTGACTCTTTGGGAATGTTGTAAGAACTAAGTCAGCATGGAACCCTACTGGTGGTCTGCGGCAGAGACATAAAGCACACTAGTTAATCGCAAATGTGAATACGGAGCTGATGTAGTACAGAAGATGAAATTAAGAAATACAGGGCAGCGTTGCCTGTGAGATTTTTCCACTGCTCCATATGAAGTGACCCCACCCTGGCACCAGCTCTGGAGTCACTGACAGCTGAAAACCAGCAACATTCTTAAAGGTGAGCTTTAATGGCCAGAAGACCAATTGCTAACACATCCACTTAAGAAATACTGCTATACCATTATTCCCAGATCACTGTGTGCAAGACACTAACCAGTTTGCGTACAGAGTTCAACTTCGTGTTATTTGCATTACAACTGAAGTTTACAAGACCCCCTGATGGAATCCTGCCTCTCACAGAAGCAGCTACAGCCACACATTACTCTCGTGGAAACTTTCAACCAAATCCAACCACAAAAAAAGAGGGCCGGAAAGATGGCTCAGCAGTTAAAGAAGGGGCTGCTCTTCCAGAGGACCCAGGTTCAATTCCCAGCACCCACATGGCAGCTCACACCTGCCTGGAACTCCAGTCCCAGGGGATCTGACACCCTCACACAGACACCCCTGCAGGCAAGACACCAGGACACATGAAAATAAATCAGATGAGCGAAAACTAGCTTTGCTGTCTTCTGGCCTCCGAGCGGTGATGCTAAAACTTCCAGGTCCTTTCAATGCTACTTCTAATCTCTGGAAGAAGTGTCTGCATGAGAAATCTGAGTGTTGCAAAGCTGGCTGTTTCAGCAGCAGCCTGTCCTTGTCATGTGAAATGACATCCCCAAATGCCAGTACTTAGAAATCAAAGGAGTTGAAAGTCCTGTCGGAGGCTTCCATTGTTTCCATGTTGTTGTTTTCCTGCTGAGGTTGAAAAAGCAGCCTCTTACTTTTCTTTTCTTTTCTTTCTTTCTTTCTTTCTTTCTTTCTTTCTTTCTTTCTTTTTTTTTTTTTTAAGCCCAGGATGTGCTATGGGAATCTATAAAACTTAATTACATTTACTCTTACAAAAAAGGATTTATGAACTTTTGCCTGGAGGCGGAAATGTTTATTTCATTGCCTTTGCCATCGAGTCTTTTCAACTCCCGTGGCTTTGAACTTCTCAGCTGCTGGGAGTTATCACCGTGACACAGAGCGCAAGAGCTCCACTCCGAAGACGCACACCACAAGTTGAAGAAGCCGGGGAAGGCGAAGATATATGAGTCGTTATTTTGGCCACCCTTTGTGCCATTAAAATCTCATTTTCTGCCTATTAGAATACCCTCTTGGTGCTTAGGCAGCGGTGATAGCCCGTGATTAGTGTGTAATTGAGTATAATTGTCTTTTCACTTTTCATTTGTGTCATTCTGAGCTTCTCTCTGTTTTTCTAACCACCAAGAGGAAAAGGGAGCTAGAGAAAAGATAAAGCTGTTAAAAACTCTCGCTCTCAGCCCCAAAGAGATCCTCGATTGCAATTATAGATTGCAATCCCTTTGTGACATTTCTCCAAATTTAGTGGGTGGCTCTCCTCGCCACCTGGGCCAACTGCTCTCTCTCGCTCTCTCTCTTGCTCTCTCTCTCTCTAATAAAATCAAGCTATCTGTATTTAAACAACTGCTAATAATGTCAAGTTCAGACAGATGCCACATGTAGGAAATTTAACCATCCTTCTGACATGCAATTATCAGGGCAATTTATTAATACAATCCTTCAAGAAAAACCTCATAGTCCAATGCAAATTACAAAAACAATTACAACGTCCAAATATTTATACAGACCCAAAGACTAGCAATTTCCCTAATTTGTGTTCCTATAACTCATTCATTCCAGGTTCTGCAGTCCTCAGCTGGGTCTCTCTCTTTCTCTCTCTCTCTCTCTCTCTCTCTCTCTCTCTCTCTCTCTCTCTCCCCTCCCTCTCTCTCTCCCCTCCCTCTCTCTCTCCCCTCTGTCTCTCTCCCTCCTTCCCTCCTTCCCTCCTTCCCTCCTTCCCTCCTTCCCTCCCTCCTTCCTTCTCCCTTTCTCTCTTCCTTTCCTCCTCCCTCTTCTACTGTCCCACCTCCCTCTTTCCCTTTTGCCCTTCCCCCTCATCCTCTTTACTGCCCCTTCCCTCTACCTACAACTTTTCTGCTTCCCCTCCAATTGTCATGTCAGAGCTTTGGTGTTTTCTGATGAGGGTTTTTCCTCAAAATTCTGTCAGCTGACCAAACATCACTTGAAACAGACAAGCAAACAAACCCCCCCCCCCAAAAAAAAAGAAACCCTGGCAAGTTTGTAAGGCTTTCAACCAAAGCTCAGAGCTAAGGACAGGGAAGGCATATGACAAACGCCTTGACAACTAAGTATAAACACAGCGTCCCCATGATTGCATTAGAAGTCACTTGAATTTTAAGTCTAAGCTACAACTTTTGAAGCCTCCAGTAGAAAGGGAAGAAAGAAAGGAAACTCGAAAACTGAAATCATGTGGCTTGTATAAAGAATACATTATGGTTTACATTTGGCAATTCATTATAGCCCTGCCTCGGGGAATTGACTATTTGGTTCTGGTAACGGCGAATCATCTGTCTAGAAACACAGGACTGACCTGAGGTGAAAGGCCATTGCCAATGGCGGGGTTCATGGGGTTGGAGGGGCCCGACGGAGGCACAAAGCTGTCTGTATAGCTTGAAAATCCATGTCTGGTGCTGGGGAGGCAGTAGGCAGAGCTGCTGTCTGGGTTCGAAGGAATTGTGCTTTGGTGGACGGTGCTTGGAGGAAGCGGCTGAGGTCTATGCACGGTGCTGCTGGGATCTGACACGGCTGTAACAAAGAAGAGGATCAACCGTGATGCTCTCGGCTGGACAAGCAGAGCAAGTTCAACGCAGAAGTTCCCAGTAGGAGTTACCCATTTGATCAGATGTTGTGAGAACTCTAAGTGCATTTCTTACAGCTCAGTTGAGAAATCACACAACAAATACAGTTAATGTCTATCATGGCATGTCTCCAAGCTCATGACTGTGTAGAAACTTACAGGTCACATTCATCCCGATACCCAGATACTCACAGATACCACACTGGCAAGACCAACAAGCCAATTTGAGTAGTGAACACAATGTAATCACTACAGGTACCAAACACCTCATCAAATGTAATGCATGAATAGAACATCAGAGTTTCAAGTGTTGAGAACATGCTTTCACAACCTCGAAACAATAGTCTTACAATTTAAAATGACTCCAATTCCCTCTTGCCCTAATAAATTATAATTTTAGCAACATTCACATTCTCTGAATTATTATTGCAACTAGTTATAATCCTAGATCCTCAGTTGATTGCAACCAGCAATATAAATACAGTGCTCAGGTTTTAACAAAAGGGGTGTGTGTGGAGAATCCCATATTTCTTTGGGAAAGTTGCATTGTTTTTAAACATCGAAATAGTGTTACAGCATAGCACATTTTATCTGAAGAGCATCAAATGTAGCTCAAACTACTTCTGAGACAAGGCAGGTATGGATGCAGGTATGTACAGGGACAGCTGAGGTCAGATGATTGGCACATTAACAGCGTCCATGTCAGAATCACAGGCAGAATTCACCCTGTGAAACAGCCAATAGGAAGCTATTGGGAGTTCCATCCTTATCACCCTGTTTTTCTTCCGATACCTTGTGGAATCGACGTGGGCTGGTAAGAGGTCTCCGACAGCTGGTATGTTGGCAGGGTCGGCATGGCGGTGGGAGGGAATCCCCCCGGAATGAGATGGTTGAAAGCCATCAGTTGATTGGCCCCAGCTTGCTTCCTCCATCTTGCACGGCGGTTACTAAACCAGACCTATGGATTTAATTTAAAATTTGAGGATTTCACTGATGAAATAATAGTACACTCTTAATGAATTTTTCATGCTAAAACAGATTAAAGGCCCCTACTGACAGGGCAAGTAGAGGCAAGAGTCCTCTGTCTTCTATAGTATGTCGGGGTGAAAGGAAAGTTAAATATCAGGGGTCAGGAAAGGGGCTGCAGGGACCCTGTGTGGACTCGTGTCAGAAAAGCTGATAAGGACCCTGGGCAGGTCCTGGAAGGCAGGGTCAGAACAGTAAGTATTCTTTACTGCTGCCATCAATGTCATTTACCCTCATCCCTCAGCCTTCCAGGAAATCTTGAGTCACTTGGATGCCCCCCTACACACCGACAGTCACACGCATGCCACATGTCCTAAATTTGACCTTGCCAATTACAGACACCAAGCCTTAGGCTTGGTGTTTGTATCAGTCTATTTCTATATGTCTATAATCAGTGTAAGTATAGGTCCTAGTTAGTGGTTCTCAACCTTCCTAATGCTGCAGTCCTTTAATACAGTTCCTTATGGTGCGGGAGACCCCTACACATAAAATTACTTTCATTGCTACTTCATAACTGTAATTTTTCTCCTGTTATGAATCTTAATGTGAATATCTGTGCTGTCTAATGGTCTTAGGCAACCCCTAGGAAAGGGTCGTTTGACCCCCATGGCAGTCACGACCCACATGCTGAGAACCGCTGTTCTAGGTCGTCACATGAATTAAACAGAAATTCATACAAGTAGAAGCATTTTACCACCTTCTCTCAAAGTGTGAATCATCACTCTGACCTCAATTAGAATGGATGCTGATGAAGAGTATTTTGCAATGGAATTAGTTTCTTTTGGTGTCTGTGTTATGCAATGTAATAATCTGTGCTGAACACTATACTAATCACCTACGTTCAGGAAAAAAAAATCTGTTGGAAAATAATTTGTCTTCCAGTAATTCAAAGCTCCAGTCTTCTTGTGTGTCAATGGAGAAAAGGAAAAGATATCAACCAGAAATATAATTGAATGTCTAACATGTTGAATGATGTTCTACAGAGTTTTACTATACTTCAAGATGTAGTATAACAAAAAGCCAGGACTGTTACACAGAGAAACCGTGCCTCAAAAACAAACAAAAAATGTAAAACTTGGAGTAGATTTTCCAGGGTGTACACATAGTATTATTTACCATACCACAAAAAGAGACTCCTATCAACCAAGTATTAGCATTTGTATAGAAAGTTCTCCAAAACATAACACGAAGAAGCACATCGCATTTGAGGCTGAAGGGATAGGAAGGGATGTGATGGGGAGGTCACATTCAGGCGGCCTTCTTCACGGAGCCCAGAAGAATTGCTCACAAGATACGGAAGTTCTGTGTTAGAAAGTCAAGGAATCAGAAAGACTTCAGAGTGGGGAAAAAATTTCTGCTCATTTTAAAAGCTGTATGCAATTACCACAAGGATTATCTTTCTAGATAATCTACAGTAGAGAGTAGAAAGATGTAACCAGCCTGGCTAAGAAAAGAGAACTCAGCACGGAATGTCCTTGCCTAGAATGTAATTGGGAGGTAGCCTGCAAGGGTCCATTCCCTCCACTGTATGCACTCCCAGGCTAGAGCGCAGGCCATCATGCTTGGTGGCAAGCACCTTTGCCCACTGAGCCTTCTCACCAGCCCCAAATATTACCTTTTCATACTTCTTATGTTTCCAAGAGGAAAATCATGTAATCTAGTATTTTCCCATGTGGATAAATAATTGAATCGGAGCTTCAAGTGGCTTGATAAATTGCCACCTGATATAATGGTACCGTGAATGCTCTATTTCAAACTGGCATTTGGTTGTGTTTTCTCTCTGCAAGTCTTAACTATTTACGACTCCCAGAGGCATCATGGGAAGAAAACCAAGGAAGGGCTTTGACATCATCCATGTTAGTGGAAGAGTCTAGGGGTGAGAATTCATGCCTGAAGGTACTTACCCTACCATATACTGTAGTCAACCATGATAAAGCGACAGCTTCAAAAGACCCTTCTGGAATTTAAAATCAACTACAAGCCACATAGTTCCAAATTTCTGTGATATCATGGGAGAAGTGAACTCCTAGCGATGTCCTGAGGTGATTTCATTCACTTGGTCACCATCCTGAATTCCAGTGCACCCCTCCATGAAACACTCGGAACCCTGTTGCTTGGCTATTGCTGAAGCATGCTGGTCAATCCTCTGCCCTCTGACTTCTATAGCCTTTAGATAAATAAACCAGCTTGGATTGACCAGGGCTGGCTATGCCTGAGCTCCCCATGAAGCTCAGCATTCCACTGCATCAAAGAGCATTTTACCAATGCATAGACCAATGTCAAAAGGTAGAGGTCTAGCCAGGCATGGTGGCACATGCCTTTAATCCCAGCTCTCAGAAGACAGAGGCAGGTTAATCTCTATGAGTTCAAAGCCAGCTTGGTCTACAAAGTGAGTTCCAGGACAGTCAAAACCCTGTCATGAAAAACACAAAAAAACAACAAAATAAAAAAGAGAGAAAGGAAGGAAGGAAAGAAGAAAGAAAGGAAGGAAGGGAGGAAGGAAGGAAGGAAGGAAGGAAGGAAGGAAGGAAGGAAGGAAGGAAGGAAGGAGAGGTCGTCTTTGCCTAAGTAATGATGAACAATTATTGTCACTTTCCACGATTACTTTCAAAAGATAGAATCAAAACAAACTAAGTGGCTACGGATTTGAAGTTGGTGCTCATTTTATGTTTCCAAACTGACACTAGTAATTACTGGAGATATAGAACAAGGCCACGAGGAATTTATTTTTAAATGTTTATTGCATAGTACCTGTTATAGCTACAATTCAAAAAAAATGACAGGAAGGAGCTAGGGGTATACCTCAATGATAAAGAAATTTCCTAGCACAAAAAGGTCTCAGGTTCAAACTCAAGCATTATATTTAAAAAAAAAAAAGTCAAGAAAAATAGTTGAGAAGCAAAGCTTTACTGAAAAACAAACTTTCAACCGGAAGTTCAGGATTCCCAAAGGAAATAATCCTAACATTTAAGCTGAGGCTCCCTATATATGGAGAGAAAAACCGGGCCAGTGAGAACCGGACTGCCTGTCTCCTCTGGGCGTTTATTAGAGGTTTTGAGTGATCCAGCCAATGCTAACTTCTGTGCTTCTCAACCCACCCATGCCTGCCAGACACATTACTTAAAGGGAAAACAGACTAATGCTGAAAATGGGACTCCGTCTTTGCCTTGTATTTTTAAACTCAGGCAGCATCTTTAATTTCCAGCAGAAAAAAAAGTTGCCCTTGAAATGACCTTTATTTTCAATACCTTTGCTGACTGAGCATGGGATACTGGAATGTTGTCATCACCCTATATGTAACTGAAGGAGAAAAGCAATCCCCGCTACTCAGGCGGGCACCTTTCATAACTCAGCAGTGAATTAGCAATTCTTAATGGGCAATCAACACATAATCTACTGTGAATGCATAATCCAGAATGGCTTCATCCCCAACAGGTCTAGAGAATTTATGACTTGGTTACAGTGGTTAGAAATATCTCCTTCTTAGGGGCTGAAGGTGTGGCTAAGCAGTTAAGAGCACCAGAAGACCTGGAAGACCTGGGTTTAACTCCCCAGTACCCACATGATGACCCACTTCCATCTTCAGCTCCAGGTGTAGGGAATAAAAATCCCTTTTCTGGGCTCATCATGGTACACAGACATTCATGCAGTCAAAACGCTCACACACATTTAAAACATATATATATATATATATATATATATATATATATATATATATATATTTACACACACACACATACATACATACATACATACATACATACACAAACTGGCTCTTGCTGTTTTAAGAATGTCTTTGTCAATAAGGCAGAAAGAAGGTTTACAAAGTCAGCTATCTATCTGCTAAGTGTATTCTGTGATCTAGGAGCCCTTGTGATTCTACTCTCTAAACGTCACCTCTTCCGGCTTTCCCATAACTGCTAACAAGCTAAGCAAGTGAGGGAAGGAGGTGTCCATTGCTTGATAGTCTACTAGCATATATAGTGAATTGCCCATAGCTGTCTGTATAATATGAAATAGATTAAGTATACCCCCGGCTCATTTTTACCTGACCCAAGCCTTTTTAGCTTGCCATGGAGTCTGTCAATAAAATGATAGCTACAGTTCCTTAAAAATAATCTTCATGTAGATTTTCACAATATAATAATATCCAACAGTTATGTGTGGTAAAATTCAAACCATTCAAAGTTCTCTAGAGAACTTTGAATCATGATAACCAAAATATTCAAAATAAGAATAAAATTTTGATAAAATTTTCCTCCATAAAGGACCTTGGTCCTTGCTCAAAACAATGTGCTAGACTTTGTTGACTGCCCATGGGAAGCTTTTCCCTCTCTGAGAAGTGGATGGGGGGGCAGAAGGAAGGAAGAGAGTAGGAACTGGGGTTCGTATGTAAAATGAGAAAAGATAGTTTTGTTTTGTTTTTTAAATTTCTCTTCCTGAGGAAAGTGACCAACTTGTTCCAACTCAACCCTGAACAACTTTGGGGGAATTAGTACTTCCACAGGGAAAATGGAGGAAAGCTTTTTTACACCACTGGGCCATCTAAAGTCAAGCCCAAGCTCCCTGCTTGACACCACTTTGACCTTGAATGCTTTGCTCAGTGTTTGGGGAGTTCTGGCCACTCCTTTGCTAAATGAGAAATGCGTAGAACTTCTGCAAGACACTGTTGAGATAATTTAGGAGGACAATAAGGCAAAGCACTTACAAGGATGTTTAGGAGATACTAAATGCTCAATAAATACTAACTGTTAAATTAAAAGCTCGCATGGGCGCTTCTGAGAAAACCCAATTAAAGCCTGGCTTGCTGTCCTTCCTCTGCAGTCAGCAGCCAAAGCCTTTTGTGCCAATGAGTAAACAGAGAAGTGCCCACAGAACACCTCAAATAATGGAGAGCCAGTTTGACTTGAATGGTGGCTTAGGTCAAATTTG